AGATCATATATTAGATTTTCATGATACAATAAAATTTGAATTATACTTGTAGTGACTAGTCAGGATAAATGAGCATCATCATAATATCAACCAATAAAAGGATATTTCACCTTCATTTCTTACTCATTTAAATCTCCAAGGTCAAACCTCCAGCTACAAATAATTCAAATTTTATCTTCTATGGCCATAGAACAATATTTATTTTCATAAATACGTGAAGAAATAACAAGACGAGTCCAAGATATCACAACTATATCATAGTTGATTATAAATATATTTACAATAAATATATTTATGTAAAAAGAATATATTAAGAGTACCAATGATATAAATAAAAATGACCATTATTATAAAATAATTAAACTATAAAATATGAACACCTTAATAATTAATATGGATAAAAATAATCATAGATTAAGCAAATAAATGAGGTTAGGGACACCCAACTGAATAAATACACATAAATAAATAAACATAATAGTATATAAAATTTTAAAGAAATAAAGTTCTCCTCCCCCTTACATGGATAAGTAGGAGCTAAAACTTGGGCAGAACCTCCCCCTCTGGATTCCCTTTTTCTTTCCCTCTCTTTCTTTCTCTTTCTCTCTCTTTCTCTCTCTTTCTTTCTCTTTCTCTCTCTTTCTCTCTCTTTCTCTCTCTCTAAGATTTTCACCTTCTCACTAAGTTATAAATTTTTCACAGCCCAAGCCTCCTATTTATAGGCATTCAGACATACCCTGAACGGCCCGTACTGAATTCGAAACAACCCGTTCCGGAGCCTTCAATTATACGCAAAATGTTCAACTGGAACGGCCGTTCTAAAATCAGAACGCCCCGTTTCCAAAAAGCAGAACGACCCGTTCTAAAATTAGAACGCCCCGTTTTCAAAAAGCAGACCGGCCCGTTCTAAAATTAGAACGGCCCGTTCTGGAGTTCACTTTTACACAGGTTGACCATAAGGAGAACGGCCCGTTTTCAACTTGGATTTTAGGCCATTTTGTTTATCTAGAAAGACCCGTTCCGCTTTTTGGAACGGCCCGTTCTGGGCCTGAAAAAACAGAATTTCATATTAAAAAAATAAAATTTTCATAAATATTTAAATTATTAAAAAATCTAAAATCTTCTAAAAAATTCCTTTAATTAATTAATAACTATAAAAAACTAATTTTCATAAATATAAAATAATAATTAACTATTGTATAAAATTTGGGATGTTATAGTTCTGGTTTCAGAACTGCCATTCTGCATGTGAATTTTACATATGACGAAGGAGCCTAGAACGGGTCGTTCCGGATTCAAAACGGGTCGTTTTGGTCACTCCTAACCTCTATAAATAGGCTTTGAGGAGGGAGAGAAGGGGAGCTTAGAGAGAGGTTTTAGAGAGAAGTTTTAGTGAGAATGACTCTGGGTTAGGAAACTTTATTTTGAAGGATTGAAGTTCGGGAGTCGAGCTCGGAGGAAAGTTTTCTTATTCCCAAATTCTTGGCTGTTCAGAGCCAATCTTCATGTAAGGGAAGCTAGATTGTATGTTGTTTGGTTATATGTGAGTTTAGGAACTCATATGGAGTAAGAATGTTGAGAATCATTGATTGATTTGAGGACCTTTTCATTTTTCGGGGTTTTGGGAAAAATGGGGTTTTTGATGATTTTGATGCATGGTTGATTTCATGTTGAATTTGAGGTTATTTTTGAGTTGTATGGAGTTGTATAATTACATTGAGATGTATGATGAGTAGAAAGTGAAATGAAGAGATGCATGTTGAGTATAGTGTTGTAAACTAAATGAGTAGTTGTGCCAAATAGAAATGTGTTGAATATGTGATATGTTGTTAAAGTTTCTATATGATATGTGTGGACATTTATATGTTGTGGAATATGATGAGATGATATAGTTGAAAGTTGTGAAGTGCATGATGATAATATTGTGGGTTGTGAGAAGCATGATGTGATGTAGATGTGTTGAGATTTATATAGAAGTTATTAGTAGACTGTGTTGTTAAGTTGTTAGAGGAGAGTTGCATGTTGTGCCGTGTGTTGAAAAGATATTATTTATGATAATTGAGTTGTAAATTTAAAGTTGATGATTGAGCTGATGAGATAATAACGATATTGTTAAAGTTGTGAGTTGACTGTGTTGTTCAAGTTGAAAGTTGATTGAGATGAGGAGTTGATAAGTTGTGTGTCATTTAAGTTGTGGAGCTGAACTGTGTTGTGAGTTGTAAGTTGTTTGTACTGTGATGACGAGTTGTTGATCACTAGGACTAGGGGAGATGTTTTCAAAGTTGCTCATCCCATTGTGTGGATTGAGTGTTGTGGTGCTCTAAGAGCCCAATTTGTTGAAAAACCCTCTTTGGGAAGTTGTCCCTTGGAGTGGACGTTGTGTTGTTCTCTTCTAGGACTTAGTTGATCCCATATGTCGGCAAGTTCGAGGCATACGTGTATGAAGCGACTACGGTATAGGAGCCAGGTCGAGCTATACCGATTACAAGCAGCCAATATGAGTAAAGTACGAAGTCGGGAACTTAGTTCCTAACCGAGTATCGGAGGGTTGTAGTATTTGGAGGATAGCTGGTAGGCTAATCCCATAGGTGACTTATTTAAGCTAGCTAATGTCATGGTAGGTCTAAACCCAGCTGTTCTATCCTGATAGAGTACTATACTTCCTTGTTTAAGTGACAAAGTCTGAGAAATCGTTATCGTGTTGTATATTTCTATCCAAATTTGTTGTTTACCTAGCAAGCCCAAAAAGGTTTTGTGTTGTTGGTTCGGTAGGACCTAGCCACTTAGACTACTCACTACGTTGTAGGAGATCTCCGAGTTGAAATGCGTGATGACGCATAAGTTGTTGATGTGTTGATTCTGTGTTGATTTAGTTGCATATCTGTTGTGATGTTGTGAAGCTGTGATTAAGTTGCGTGTTGTTATCTGTTGAGCGTTGAACTGTTGAAAATGTTGTTTCTGTTGTTGAAGTTGTAGGTTGTTTATATCTATATGTTGATTATTTTCACTAGCTTACCCTTGCATGTTTTCATGTGGTTTGGATTGCGATGATCATACTATGTATGGAAGCAGAGTGGGGAAAGGCTGGAGAGTAGCGGTAGTGTCACAGGCGGTGACTGGAGCTGATCTTTTGTGTAGGCTACTTTGGTGTAGCATTTTGTTAGTATTAGATACTTGACTTATTGAACCTTAGGCTGGATATATGTATATATATTCTACTCCTGCATGGTGTTGTTCTGCAGTGTGGCGGCCAGGCGGGTCGTTACACAATTTTTGTATTGAAATATGAAATCAATTTAAATTAATTTAAACTATATTTATAAGTAATTTTTTTTTTCCAAATATATATTATAGGTATATAAAATTGACACATAATAAAAAATGTATTTTATAAAACTATAAGATTCTAAAAGCATGTTTGGAAATCTGTTTTTTTTTT